TATGAGTTGCTCCAACCGGGTGAAACCATCACTGGGGACCTCTACAGACGACAATTGATGCGTTTAAATCGAGCATTACAGGAAAAGCGGCCGCAATATAAAGATCGACATGACAAAGTAATTTTGCTCCATGACAATGCGAGACCTCATGTTTCGAAAGTCGTGAAAACTTATTTGGAAACGCTAAAATGGGAAGTTTTGCCTCACCCGCCATATTCCCCGGATATTGCTCCATCTGATTTTCATTTGTTCCGATCCATGGCGCATGGCTTATCAGAGCAGCACTTTGACAACTACGAAATGACTAAAAATTGGATCGATTCATTCATCGAATCTAAAGACGAAGAATTTTTCCGACGTGGTATCCGTGCTTTGCCAGAAAGATGGCAAAAAGTGTGGATAACGATGGACAATACTTTGAATGACGCCACTGTAATGATACTTGCATAATAAACCACGAAAATTTTTGCAAAAAAACGCTACGAATTAATTCCAACACCTAGTAATATAAAAAATAATTTATATTATATATCTTATAAGATACAATTATTTTAGTATCAGATATAAGAGAGAAAATGAAAATATTTCTTACTGGAAAATCTATAAAATCATAACTTCAAGTATACAATTCTCGGATGATTTCACTGAAGTACGATTCAAACTCAGTTATGATTCGGCAAGCCCAAAAGTTTTTTTCTTTTTGTAACACTGTAACATAATCAAAATAAATCAATATACAATATGTACAATATATACATATCTATAAAAATATAAAATTTACGATAAACACAGTTTTCTTTATTAATCGCACCGCGACTATGTCGGAAAGCCGCTTTCTTCATTTGTAAAAGCGTTTCGCATTTATTGAAAGTAAAAACAAAACAATATTACACCATAAAACAAAAGCATTTCAATTAATAATATTCATAACAGGCAACAATGGAGTTACTACTACAAATGCTTTTAAATGCTTTATTATTTGAGAGAGAGGGGGGAGGAGAAAGAGAGAGATAACGAAGTATTTGTAGCAGCAACTCGATCGCAGCCATAAACTATAAATTTTCAATACTGATGGGGAATTTAGGAACACAATCTATATATGCATTATAATATTTAAATAAAAATTTACATTCTACATTTATACACGTGTAATTGCAGAGTAGCAGCAAAAACAAACATATAAATAATTTTGTACTTAATAGCTGTATTACATATGAAGAGATACAAGATAATATGAATTACAAATAGTAATTAAAAATTTTAGCTATATAAAATAACTTTAACAAAACAATATAATTCTGCAAAATTATGAGAAATTAATTACAAACTATAATTTTTATATTTTGCAGAATATTATTTTTATACTTTAGCAATAAATAAATAAATTTTGTTCCTAAATTGTCTGAAAAAAAGAAACAGTTTCTTTTTTATTTTTATATAAACTAATTTATTCTAAAAGTCAATCAAAAGCGAGCAAAAGAGATTACCTTAGTAGTAATCCAGCAAGTAAATCTTCTGCGACAGTCCGAAGTCGGCAATCTTGACGATCATCTGATCGTTAATGAGGCAATTGCTTGTCACTAAATCACAGTGAACAAACTTCGGACAGGTACACCATGCCGGATGCTACCTGGAGCGCAGTATTGATCAAATCCATATGTGTGAGTTGCGAAGGTTCAGCCGTGCTCATCCGTGCTGGATAAAGGTCCGTTTATACATATCCGTACCGTATCCGTACCGTGTCCGTACCGTACACGTCTGTGCACGGATGCTAGATTCGATTCCATATGATTAAATGTAAGTATTTACACTATTCCGTATCCGTGCCGTCCGTGTCCGTACCGGCACCGCAGATATCGTTGGCGACGATATTTTCACGGACCGGACGGCACTGAACGTGTCGGTACTGACAAATGTAAATAGGCTTCAGTGTAGCATTCAGATTTTGAGTCTCATTTTGTATCAATCTGCGATATCGAGAGCATTCTTTTAAAATAAAGAAATGGATTATGATAGAATTATTTCAACAAAATTGATAGAATTAGTGCAACAACACATCGAATTATACGACCTTTCCCATCCAAAATATCTTGATGGAATTTATAAAGAAAAACTGTGGCAGAGTATTTCTCAAGAACTTGACCAACCAGGTAATTTTACTCATGATAAATATTATTTTACAAATAAATTTTTATATTCATTAAACATCATTTTATTTGAAGAAAAAATACACAATTCTCTTCAAAAATTTATACATATGTAGGAACGTGTTTTCGCTAGCCGGTTCTCTCCATCTTGTATATTGTTTTCGTATTTTATTATCAATTAAATTGAGTAACACATTAAAAGCATGTTCTGACATTCTAAAATATTGATAAAATTTAGTTGCATCATCAAAAATTCTTTATATGTAAAATGTAAAAAATTCATCTTTTGTTTTTCGTTTTGTCCATGCTTTATGAACCCATAAAATCCGTTTTTTTTTTTTTTAAGATTTCTCTTCGTCTAAAATTAATGCTATTACCGCTAATTCGTTTATCGATAGCTTTGCCATGTTCACAGTTCAGATGTATGTCTCAAGACTGATGTTTCAAAATATTCACGGATGCGAGCCGGATATGTGTAAATACTCATATCGAATCTTGCCGGTACGGTACGGACACGGTACGGATACGGTACGGATATGTATAAACGGACCTTAACGCGGACCGAATGCTGTAGTTGCCGGGCGAGCACGAACGCAAGAATTCGTTGAGATCGCCACGGCTTATGTATTCAAACAGCAGACACATTGGTTGCCGGAGCGTGCGTATGCCAAGCAGTTTGACGATGTTTGGATGATCAAATTCTGCGAGCAGACACGCCTCGTGCTCGAAGCCGTGCAGCAGATTATCTGATGCTTCTTCTTTCAGCATCTTCACGGCGACATTTGTGAACTTTTCACCTGCAACCAATCCGGGAGCGCATGCCTGGAACACGCGATCAAAGGAGCCCTGAGCGAGATCTCGCACATAGATGATATTATTACGCGGGAATTCTAGCTTCTCTAGCTTGGGATTTAATTGAGCGCTCGTCTTATGGCACGCTTCGTTGTTCGGCAGTTTATCCAAATCAATGTTTACATCCTGCAAAGAAAAATGCTTCAAATAATTACTAGTTAATATAATCGTGAATATATAGATAGGAAAAATAAATATAAACGTTAAAATACATTAATAAAAAAAAATATATAAATTATTTAATTATATACAATATGCACACAAATATACTATATCAAATCAAGAACTTTAATCATTTTCTGATTAATAACTTTAGAAAATTTTTCTTTAAAATAATCACAATCAAAGAGTAAACATACTTGATTATCAGCCGGATTATAGCCTCGAAGGCGTTTGTGCAATCTTTGGCTCAGAAGAATAGACAGTATTACACCAACCATGATTACAAAGCGGATAATATGAATATCAAGGTGTTATTAAGAAGAGCATTCATCATTATATATGTCGATTCAATCCCGACTTTAGTGACATTATCTGCAAGAAAAATATAAAATAATGATTGGATTGCGATTAATTGCTGCTTACTGTATTAAAAATAATAAAAAATATCAAAATATCAATATCAAGTATTTTAAAAATATTCATAAAAATATATTCGGCACAAAACAATAAATAAGAAAATATTACATAAATACTTAATCAAATATTTTTCTTTCAATATTTTTAAGCTTTTCTGCTATTAATTCTAATCAACTTTAATGTAATTTAAAAAATTGTTCTCTAAAAAAGATTATGTGTAATTGTAAATAAAAAATTTTTGCGTGCACATGTGTGTACGTATGTAGCAATAATAATGTATAATTACTTATAATTGCGATTATACTCACCACATATAGGGATATTGCAATGCTCGTAACATATCACTTGATCGGTCGTAAAGCACTACAGCATTGGTTCATCGCCACCAGCGTTTGTATGTACAATAATTCTCATCATAGCAAATCTGTGGGAAGACATCGGGTAGTGAATGACTGTGTGGCGATTGTGCACTCCACGGCTGACAATCGAGTCCAGATTGTGTTTTGTTGACTTTTCTCATGTAGAAACTGCCATTACCTCTGATGCAATCATCCAGAGAAATCAATCAATATTATTTAACTAGCATTTATTTCAATAACTATTATAATTAAATACATATTTGATTTATATTTTATTTTATATTGTAATAATTAGTGCTTTGTAATTGAAAATATTTTTATAAAAATGAGATTTATTACATGTGTGTGTAATGACTTCTTCATCCATATCAGTGAGATGTATGTGTGAACAAGTGGGTACTTCCTTGTTAACTTTGGGCAAACTCTCACATTCTGGCGATGAAAAGTGCCCGCGGGAACAGATGTAAACATTTTGCTGCTTGTTGTCCTCGATTACTGCCCACTCGGTGAAGCAGAACTGTTGACGCACTGCCATGCAGTCTTCATAGCACAGGGGTAGATCCACTGACTCATGACATAATGGAAATGCACACATGTATAGCATTTTCTGCAATCAACAAAAAGAAATCAAAATTTTCTTCTAAACACTTATTTAATAAAATTCTTTATTCTAAGTTATTTCTATATTCTAATATATATATTCTAAAGTTAAAAAATTACAAAGTATATTTAAATCTTAAAAAATTTTAATAACATATTAATTGTTAAACAATGATTAGAAGTTATTAGGCGCTGACTTCAATATTCTTATCGAATTTAAAGCTATGAAATATACATAACATTCTTGCTCAAAGTTCTATTTAATAAATACATTTAATTATTTTGTATCTTTGTCGTCATTTCAATTTAGCGAAAGCAAAGAAAGTATATTACCCTGGTAAAACATCACCTTGCAACAGCATTAATTCGCATGAGAGAAGCTTAAAACGCACGCCACCACGTTGACGTTTCGATTGATGCTGGGTTCCTTGCCAGACGCACCGACAGTGATGAGTAATGAACGATGCAGCAGCAAGGCGATCATAACGACCGTCTTCTGATAGCAATACTAGGCTGTCTCGACGAGCTCCACTATGAATGTCACCCAGATGTCATGTGGCGAATTAGGTCCGAGCTTACAGCCCTCGTGAACTGCAAGTTGTAATATTTATATCGTCGGTTTCAATATCGACTTGAAACTGTAATATTATTAAGTAAAGAATAAAATCTTAACGTTCTGCAACCGACTAATTTTTAAACGATAGGACGGTTATGTTCTATATCCGACCTTGTTTGTTGTATATAAGATTGCTTCGACAAAAGTTATTGAATATCAGGAACGACAGTATTAATCAAATAGAATCGACACTGCTTTTAATTTGAACACTAACTTTTAATTCAATTATGATATAAGAACTATTACAATGTTCGACTTCGCCAAAATCTAAGTCTTAATACACGACAAAATTCACCGACTGTCTCTCTGATTAATTTCTTCTTGCGACCTGTTTTTTCGACTCGACGTTAGAGAGTGATCTTTCATTTACAATTCCTTATTAAGTCGCCTCTTTCGAACATTCTAGAAAAGAGGAGTTAATTCTATGTTTCTATAAAAATATGGGGCGGGAGCGCGCCCGCGCAGAATCGATAGTCTTATGCGAGGCGCTGATCGAGACTTAGGCTGCCGTCAGCTGGCGCCGTCTATCGACCGATTCCTTCGTCATCTTTCAAAGTGTACTGACCTATGGTGAATCATGTTTCATTAGTAATAGATCATTAAATGTATTTAACGTAAACATATATAACTATAATAAGTAAAAAAAATGCATATTTTATCATTTTAAAAATAAATTTATTTTAAAAATATTTTTGTTATTTCTATTTCTATAGAAGGAAACATTTTACTATAATTTATCTTTTCTGTGAAATAATTATAGCCAATTCATATCTTATTATTATTAACAAATCATGTAACAAATCATGACTAATTTGATGTTACAAAAAATTACTATTTTTATAACATTAAGTTATAAATAAATATTTTTATGAGCTCATAAGGTTTATGATGTTCTTTGTCCTTATGATTAATATAATGAAAATAATTTTTACAAATGCAACGTGCTTTTTGCAGACATAACCCAATTTTTTCTTTATATACAGCAATATAAAATAAATTATATATATCTTTGAAATATGTAAAAATTATTATTTTTTTCAAATATTTAATGATAAATTTAATAATAAAAATATTTATTTATAAATAAATAATAAGTAATTATCTTTAATTTATGGCAGGGCACGTTCTCGAGAAGTCGGAAGAGAAAGAGACTATTGCTGCGTTGCAGCCATGCAGCGTTCCGGATTCCGGAATTCCCAGGTTCTGAGAGGGCGCTTATCGTATGTGGTGCTAAAAATTATCGTATTTAAACAAAAATTAATAAAATGAATCATTTAAATACTATTTTTTTTAATATAGATATAATTGCAAGTGAAAGTAATCAATAATATTAACTGCTATTGAATTAATTCTTGTTTATTTATTTATTTATTTATTTGTGACGGTTATCTCACGTAATTAGAAATAGTAATCAAAATTATTTCAAAAATGTGGAAATAAAAATTTGTAAAGAAATACTAAAATATGTATGTATATATAAATATTATTCCATAATTTTATATAAAAGTATAAAAAAATATTAATATATATTTTTAATTATTATTAATATGTATTAACCATTAAAAATTTTTTAATATTTATTAAAATATTATTTCAGATTTAAAAAATGTAAACATAAAACATTTTATCATTATGCAAAATTGATTATGGAGATCATGCGCTTGAGCTCTACAATATATAATAATGACGAAAATAATAAACGTACAATTTATAATACATAACTGTTAATTCTTGCAATCAGTTTGTGATAATCATGAGTTGACAATTTAACCTCAATATGTGAGGACACATTTTTCCTCATATGTACGTTAATTCGTGTTCATGATATGTATCATCATAATATGATTACAAAATATACATAATTTTGAGGTAAAAATCTGAAGATCATGACGTGATGAAATCTGATCATCAGGTATTGCTATCTGGGTATCGACGGCAATTTTCGGATAATTCTTAGGAATCTTACACATCTTTTTTCCGACGGAATCGTAAACGTAACTCAAAGTCGGAAGTACGTGTGCCATTTCCATCATGTTGCATGTAACTTTAATGTCACATACATTAACGCTAATTTTTGAGCATTTACTCTAACGCTGATTTACTTTTGTGACTTCATTGGAAACGATTATGACAATCTTTATGCTCAGGTCCAAACGCAGCAAATATTTTTTTCTTTGCGTTGTACTTACACTGATAATGATTCAGCAACCAGATTGATGATTCAGTAACCAGACAAAAGAGTGTTTAACGAGAAAACGATGTTACTTCTAAAGTTGATGCCGAAATTCCTGAATCAGAACCAGATTCGGTCTTCAAATGGTCGCATCAGGCTGTTCTCCTTCTAATTGAGGAGTATCGGAAGAGAGAGGAAGATGTCATATCAGGTAAGATAATGATGTCATTAATTATAATGATTTGTGCATGATCCTCGGTTTTCTCACAGATTTCATGTTTTCTGTAGGCAAAATATCGCAAAAGCGAGTGTGGAAGTCGATCAGTGAAGTTCTTTGTAGGCATGGACATGATGTTACTGGCCCACAATGCCAAAGCAAATTTAACGGGATGAAGAGAACATTTAAATCCATCAAAGATCACAATTCTAAATCAGGAAATAATCCTCGGTCCTGGCCTTATACTGAGGTGATGGAATCTTTGTTAGGAGAGAAACCTTTTATGAATCCTGTTGTTGAGATCATGGAGCTTGATGAACACTTGACTCCCCTTGGCTTTTCTTTAATACAGACAGAACTTCAGAAGCAAAAACAGTATCTGAAAATAACATAAATAAATAAAATAAATAACACAACACAGAAACATAACCTTCCATTACTTACCGGTTTCTACTCTGTGCGCATCCTTTGGTGAGAGACGCGTTGTATAAACTAGACCGGTGTTGATGTCTTCTAAGGTGACTAGTACGCCCTGATTCATTTTCAACAAATATTGAAAATAAATAAATAAGTAATACGTACACTTGTTCAAATTGAGCGAGACAGAAGCAGAAAACATTCGAACAGCGTTCAGGGAACACATTTTGGCGCTATAAGAGCTATTAGCATGTCGTGCCTCACCTCGAAATCCTGAGCACGAGTTAGCATGAGTGATGACGTCACAAGGCAAAAACAATGACGTCAACATCACTTTATTGGTGCTATAAAGCGGCTCCACGAATGACCAAAGCGCGCTCATAGCGCCAAAAGTGCGCTTCCCGAACGCACCCTCAAGCGGATGCTCAATCACGAAACAAATTTTGTTATTTTTTCTATCTAAACAGTCTTGTGATTGGTGAACCACTGATCCGTTTACGCGAATTCCGCTTCATGGGACCATAGGAGAAACAAAAAACAGACCGAAGAATCGAAGAATATCTACAGTATGTATACGTAAAGTAAATTTTATTTAATTTATTAAGTTATTTAGTATAAGTAAATATAACATTTGACTTTTAGGTGCAGAATGAAATCAAAAACAATATTCTTTTTAATTGTTTTATTAATAAAGCGTTTAAAGCGAAATTACGATGTTTTTATCGCAGGAAATATATCGTAAAATTATTAAACTTTATGCGCTTTATTATTTAACATTGAAAAGCGAGAGAAAAGTTATGAATAAAAGAAAACGGAAATATTGGGTCAGATCAATATTTTCTATTGAACGACGTTTAGCACAAGGAGCGAGCAATAATCTCGTTAATGAATTAGAACAACATGATCATGAAAAATTTGTTAATTATTTCCGAATGGAACCGATACTTTTGAGAAATTATTACAATTAGTCGGACCTTCAATTACTAAACAATCTGCAGTTCGAGAAGCTATTCCACCTGAAACAAGGCTACACATTACCATCAGGTTCTTGGCATCTGGAGATAGTATGCGATCCTTATCATATGCTTTCCGTGTTGGACACAATACCATCTGTAAAATAGTGTCAGAAACTTGCGAAGCTATTTGGCAATGTTTGAAAGATACTGCTTTTATAACAAATAATAAAGAGAACTGGCAAAATGTTGTTGATGATTTTGAAAGGTTCTGGAATTTTCCAAATTGTATAGGAGCCATGGATGGAAAACATGTAACTTTACAGGTATATATGATAAAATACAATATTAAAAATAAAAACTAATCAAATACTAATATTGCTGATAAATGTATTTTATTACAGGCTCCACCGAATTCCGGCTCGACATATTTCAATTACAAAGGAAATCATAGTATTAATCTTCTAGCAATTAGCGACGCCAAATATCGCTTTATTGTTGTCGACATCGGAGGCGAAGGCAGACAGAGCGATGGAGGAGTTTTTCGGAACAGTCTTATTAGAAATTACATCGCAAGTGGTTCATTAAAGCTGCCAAATCTGAAGCCAATTGAAGTTGATGGATTAGTTCTCCCTTATGTGCTGCTAGCAGATGAAGCCTTTCCATTGACAAACTTTATAATGAGGCCGTACCCACGAAATGACAGATTGGACTTGTCAAAAAAAGTATTTAACTACAGGCTTAGTAGAGCAAGGAGAGTGGTAGAAAGTCCTTTTGGAATATTGGCAGAGAGATGGAGAATCTACAGAAAGCCGATAATATCAAGTATTGCTAATGCAAAGAAAATTGTGCAAGCAACAGTAGTGTTGCATAATTTTATTATTAACAATGAAGAACAATTGCAATTACCATGTAGGTATGTGAATATTAATAAAGGCGACTTCAATCCAACAATGAATTCAAGAGGGCTACGCTCATTGCCAATCTGTAGAGGAAGAACATCTCAAAGTGGAATCGAAGTTCGACACGCATATACTTCATTTTTTAATGGAAATGGCGCATTACCTTATCAATGGGAAAAAGCTATAAACAACAATTTTTAATTGTACAGAAATGATAATTAATAAATATATTAAAAACAAAATATAATTTACTTAAATCTTTAAAAATAATTAAAAATTCTCAATACAGCTATTTAGAAGCATATAAAACTATTATTTTGTAACATATTAAACTTTACATTACTTTAACGTGTATAAAACTAATATTATATTAACGTAAAATATATTAAAATAAAATATATGAAAATGAAAAGCACAAATTTAATGAAATGATAAAGAATTTTCCAATTCATAAAGGTCCGTTAGTATTTTTATTTCGAATTTTGTCCTTTCTCGTTGTGGCAGTGCCCGTAATCTATTTCCTATTTGGAGGAAAAACCCGTCAACAGCATCAGGTGTATTTTTCGATTCTTGAATACTGGACATGATTACTTTTGTTATTTCAATGTCTGAGCTATCGTCGTATTCTTTCTTTTCTAAAATATAAAAGCAATATTTCTTTTTAAAAAATTAAAAATTAGAATTGCATTCAAAAAGTATTGAAAAAATAATAAAAACTGACTTCTTTTCTTTGATGATTGCGTCTTGGAAAAAGTATCATCATTTGCCACATCAGATATATTAATCCAGCTATCCAACGAGACAGAATCTGATGATTGAGATGGCGGAATTATTTGAGCAGTACTAGTTTTCGGTTACATTGGACATTCATCGATGTTTGTTGATAAACTAGTGACTGTGCTGCAGATTAACAAATTAATTTATAATTAAATAATAAATAAAATTTTTTTCTTTGGTCCAATACTTAAGCCAATGAATAAAAAAGAATTAAATCTGATATTTATTTATATATAAAATTCCTTTCAAATTATTTTAATTTAAAAATATTGTGGACAAAAACGAGATAGAACTTTTTTCAATTCATTTCAATTCTTTTTTATTTATCGGAAAGGAGAAAGAATTCTCCAACAGATGATGTATATTTGGAAAAAGTTCACAAAAAAATATTTACGACGACTTTTCTGTTATGTCATCTAAGAATTTCATCTGGTTATACAAGGCAAAAACAATCTTCTTATTTTGTACACCAGGAGATCCACTCGGCACGTATGCCTTCTCTTTTTTTTTCGCCTTAACATAACTATCACGAAGTTGCTTCCATCGTTTTTGAACGAATTCTACATCATTTGTACCTTCCATTAAATTCGCGACTTCATTCCATAATGCCTTTTTTTTCAAACTTGTCCTTTCTTTTATTGGTAAACGATAGTCGTATAATGCAGGTCTAGCGTACACAGCATTAATAAGCGCTTCATTGTAATCAGTAATATTGCTTGCTTGGATGACTTTTGATTGATCCTTTTCAACTGTAAATATAAAATATACATAAATATATATATATATATATAGGGTGTCTGGCAATAATCGCCCCACCGGTCATATACAGGTAGAGGAGGTCAAATCGAGTAGAAAAGTCCTTGCACGGATTCATCAATCTTTTTTCGTTAATTACTTAGTACTTATTAACAAAATAAAAAATGGTAAAGGACTTTTCTACTCGATTTGACCTCTTCTACCTGTATATGACCGGTGGGGCGATTATTGCCAGACACTTTGTATATATATATACAGGGTGTCCCGCGTAAGGTGTACCACCGGGAACTGGGAGGTAGATGGGATTGAAATAAATATAAAAGTCCTTTACCGTTTTACGATATTCGCAATAATAAACGAGATATTAATTTTTACAATTGGACTAATGAGAGCGCGTCGAGAGAAGCGCTCGAGCCGCTCGAGGTCTAGCCCGGCCTAGTCTATCATACATTGGCTGCGGGCGGCGCGTTGGAAAGGCAAGAGGGGAAACGCGCCGTGGCTCGGCGCTCAGCTCACGTCTCGCCGCACCGCGCCTAACGTCACGCGTCTATGCCGCTACGCACAATCGCGATTACAATATGTATGTTGTATAATAATGACAAATAACTTATTTAGGGAAGAAAATAATAAAAGATCGCGAATTTGCGATAAAGTACGATACGATAAAGA